CGATGTTAAATAACAAACCAAACGATGTTAACAAAATGACGTAGAAAGCGCAACTAGATCAAAATTATACAAGCACAACTAGATCAAATTATAATACCTGAGTGCTTGACGTAACAGATATAGAAATAGAATTTGATACCATAAAAAATTATATAGAAATAGAAATTGATACCGTAAAAAATTTATTCGTTTTCGTGTTCTTTTCATGTATTTAGCATTTAGTTTTTTTTTCTTAAGCGTTGTAGCTATATAATTTCAAACATCCTCAAGAGCTATAATACATTTGCAGCAGAACTGGATATGAAGACAAAATTGCTGGACAGGAACACTTTAATTGTCCACTAATCTTCAGATTTCCTGCCATGTTTTAAAAAACTTTATTTGTGAAAACCTTCAGCGTGGCGGACAGCTGGCCGCCTCAGGCGGCTAGTAATAAATAAAAAGACATTAAATAAATGTCAATAAATAAAGTTACCATTAATATAGCAACAGAGGTGAAAAAAGAAACAGCAAATAAAATTATTTTACAGGTTCAATTGAAAAGAAGAAATGTTTATATGAATCTGAATGATGTAATTCGATCTTACCACAAAAAAAATCAAAAGAATATTTAAATAATAAATTTAAAACAAATATACCAGTAATAGAGGGGACAGTGAATGAAAAATCCTTAGCTTGTCAAAGTTTTATTTTCTCAGAATACGGCAAGTTGCATATTACACAACACAGTTTTCACAACTAGATAAATTGAAATTATTTTCAATTAACGGTTGATTTAATATCAGTAAAATAAGAGGCAAAGAAAGATGGAACATAACATCTTAAATGTATCTGACGCATTAAAAAGGTATTGCACCGATATTATTTTTTAAATAATTTCTACAATAAGACAAAATATGGCCAGAACTACCAGTATACGGAAAAAAGCTCGATATTTTTTCCGAAACGCTTTGGTAATGATTTTTGCAAATTTTACAATAAAATATGGTTTTATAATATCTAATAAAATTTAGTAAACTTGGACATTTTATCATGATATCTTAGAACATGACATAAAAACCATTTATTCGATTAAATTTATTTTCTGTTTCGTATTCTTTACTCAATGCGTGGTAATAAGAGCTATAATTTTGAAAACCAGAATTGTTAGTAAACCATTACCATATAAACAGAAAATTGACTTATTATCCAGAATTATATTGTTTTTTTTTAGTAGAAATATCACTATCTTAAGGTATGGTTATTTTACCAGAATTTTTTTCTCCGTGTATTTATCTACATTTACAAAAAACATATAATATGTTCATTTAAATGCTTAAAACTGTTATTTTAAATTTATTTCAGTATTTAAAATTACTTTTACTACTACGTTTTTTTAATATCCCATACATTCCCAAGTTTTAATGTATTGTTAATAACAATGAATTATGCAGTAAACTCAATAGTTTGATAGGCAAAATTAAACTGCCTGAATGCATAGTTTGCTATAGTAATAAATTTAATTTAATAAAAATAAAATGCTTAACTTAAGTTTTGTTGCCTTACGAGCAAGTCAAAAGTTGCAAGATATATAATTCATTACTTTTAAAAGTATTTTTTATTAATATATAATATCCTTAAGCTTATCTTTATGCAAAAACCTCAGGCAAATCTTTATCGTCACGCAATTTTACGAAGCACAAACAAAATTTGCATAAGTAATTGATGTTCGATAGACTTGAAAAATATGTTTTGAACATTGAATTTTGTGGATATTTTTCATATTTACCAATATTTAATGTAGGTTAAAATAAAACTATTCATGTCTATTTTCTTTATGTTTGAGCAAATAATATGGGATCACGTTAAACAAATCTTAGCAAGCATTTGGAAAATCAATTTTCTACAAAAGACTTCAAACATTAAAAACTATCTTATTTTCAGATACATAACTGAATTTTAAGTCAGGTCAATATACTGTTTTTCAACTATTATTGGAAAATGCGAAATATATATGTAGTTTATATATTTTTCTCATTTATATATATTTATCGATATTTTACAATTCTTTCATGATCCGATGGTTCTAAGGTAAAGTGCATTATCCCCCATTCGATTGTTCTCAGCGTGTTATAAATAATGATCATGGAGCTTTTTCAAAGCGTAAAATAGCGTGTAAAATAGAGATAGCCTATAAAATTCTTTAATGTCATTCTTATCGCTTTAAGTGAAGAAATCATCGACTTTTTCACAGGTCTTTTTACTGCTCGCAGACCAGCCCAAACGATGTACACAGAATAGTCCGTTATCGAATGGTATTAATCATACAAAGGAAAAAATGTGATTGAAAACATAAAAAGAAGAAAGTCAAGAAAATTTTGTTCTTTCTGAAACCACAGGTAGATCGAAGCATTGTTTGCGATGCAAGCTTAAGAGCTTTTAATCTTTCCCGCACAAATACTACTTAAGGATTATTTTTGAGAATGTAGAAAAAACAAGGTAAAAGGGGACGTAGCTCTTTTGAAGTTATTTCTTTATGTTTCTTTTTTTTATGTTTATTTTTTGCCGTAAATAACATAATGGGTAATACACATTGTTTTTTCAATAACTTCAAAACAATGCTTATATTTAATAAATCCTACTTTAAATAAAAATCAACATTTGTGCAGAATTCTTTATATGAATTCATAAAAGAAAAAAAGAAAAAATTTTTGTCCGTTGAAGCTTTCAAATTAAATAACTTAACAAACAAACAAATATTTTCTAAAATTCACTTTAGAAAATGCATAATTTCCATATTATATTAGTAACCGAAAAATAGAGTGCGCCGAGTGTATACGCTGCAGCGCATATATTCGTGTATTGTGTTTTGTGTGTTTAATTTGTAAGTTTATCTTGTAAGATCATATCATCAATTAATTGAGCCATAGAAGGCAGTTCAATTAATTGAACAGTAGATGGCAGCCCAAAACTGAAGGGAAATTTTGGGTTCCTATCATAATAATAGCAAGGCCACTATATTATAAAGGGTTTGCGTTCTCCACAGGTGTATCGTATAAGATCAAATCTAATCAAACAATTTGACAAGCATTTACATACTTTCTAAAATTTACTTTAAAAAATGCATAATTCCCATATTATTTAAAACAGTAAAATGGAGACTCGAGTATATGTGCTACACAAGTATAGGAACATTTCCAGAAGGTTTTTTATTTTTATTCATTTACTTTTTTACTGACTTGACAAATAATAACTTAGTAGTTATAACCTCGTAATATTAAGTTCAATTGTGTAATAATAGGCATAACTAAATAGTACTACTAAGCGGAACTACATAATTCTAAGTATGATTGTTGAACTGCGTATATCAGGGATTCTCAACCTGTGGGGCGCGCCCCCTTAGGGGGAGCGAGCACACTAGAGGGGAGGAGGATGCGAGAATATCCAAGAGAAAATATTATTTAAAAAAACTGATTAACTGACTGAAAGGAAAGCACTTATACACATAGAAAACAAAACAAAAAATTTACATATTTAATAACTTTTTAAAGTAAAACAACTTACTAAATCAAAACTTAAGATGGGTAAGCAAAGGAAGCCATAGCTAAGCTTTGAGGATTTTTCTTAATCTTCTGGTTAAGTCTGTGCGGCTGAAATTTCTTTTGCAAAATCTTATTTCTATCTCTAATACATATCACGTATACTTTTAATTGTAAAATACAATTTCATTTAATTTATAGTATAATTTCAAAATTGTAACTTTTGTGCCTAAGGTGACCGCAGGTTCCAAAGGTGACCCATATATTGATATCACTTTTTCACTGACTAAAATCATCTTTAGAAAAGACACTTGGACTGGAAAACGTCTTTTAAAAGGGCACTTCAAGTGTCTTGTTGGTGGGGACAAGTTTCTCAATTTTAAAAAAGATGTTTGCTTTTAGATTGTATTGTTTTTTTATGCATCATTTACATTGATAGATCTTGTGTGACATCACTAGCGATTCTTTTGAGTTAACTCATTAGAATAAATCAAGAAGTACTGAGCTAATTCTTTTAGAAAAGTAAAGCCATAACTCATAAGAAAGAGTAAACTAACCTGACCCATAACTACAATAAAAAAAAAAAAACAAATTTACAAGAAAATTCCAGAATCTACAACAAAAACACCCATAACTACCAAAAAAATACCTGAAAAATACTTTAAAATGTATACAAAACAAAAAAAAAACTATTAAAGTGCAGAGAACGTGGAAATATTATAAAAATTAAAAAAATGCCAAAGTTCCACATTTGCTTAAAATGAAATAAATCAATTGGTATTAAATCAATACATTCCTTTTTGAGAAATTTATACTACGTACTAATTTATAATGAACTCTTTTATAGATTTCACGTTTCTTTCCGACGGTGGCCCACGTGTCCCTAAGGTGGCACCGGTGTCGGGCCTCCTTGGGAGCATACATATGGTCACCAGTTACATGACTTAAAGCTATTAATCTGATGAATTATTTAGAATTGAAGTATTGTGGTTAAAGAAAAATAAATAAACTTTCAGAAAACGTATTACAACTCTAAGAATGTTCTAAGAATTTAAGCACATATAAATTGCAATATCTTCTTACTTAGAAATTAGAACGACAACTGCAAAAAATTAAATCACTTCATACAATGGAGGCCATTCAAGGAAATCTCTTCCAATTCAGTCTCAGACACAAGATTAACAATGCAGCAGAGCGATCTTGTGATTAAAAATGAAATTTATTCTACTTTTGGGGAGTGGGCTACGTTAGGAACACTGGCCACCTTTGTCACACCCATCTTACTCGATCAAAACATATTAAATTAAAAGCAAATATAATAATTATTAGTGACCTCCTTGGGCCTGTCTTGCAGAGCAAAGTTTTTCGAAGGAAGGCTTAATATTAGAAATAGCCACTCTCAGTTCTGTTTCTACATTTAACCGAGATCTATAATTTGTCTTCAAAGAGCCACAGCAGAAAATCCAGTTTCACTAAGGTAAGATGTTGAAAATGGTAATAGAATGCGAAATGCCCTTGTTCTCAGTGCAGAAAAATCATCCTCTACTCCTGCCCAAAATTCAAACAGTGGTTTATTACTAAATTGTCTTTTAGTTTCACCACTTGTCGTGAAATCTATCAAATTTTCTTCCTCATCAATTGAGAGTTCTTCGGGTGTCTTATGAAATGGATCCCTAACCCACTCGTAACTTGCTATCAGTTTGTCATCAGCAAGAAAATATTTTTTAAAACTCTTTACTAGCATGGTTAAATGATTTTCAATGGTTACGAAAACACCTTTTACATGTTCTTCTTCAGCCTTGTAAATTTTAGTACAATCATCCCCATTTGCAAACATAGTTAGGTTTTTTTGCTTTAAATTTCTGCTCCATAATTCCAATTTTCTATAAAAAGCATTAACTTTATCACTCGTATCCAACATATGTGCATTTGCACTTTGGAGTTGAAGATTCATGTTATTTAATTTCTCGAATATGCCGACCAAGTAGCCCAATTTCATCACAAACAAACCATCGCGAAAACTCTCAGCTTCCAGTTTGTTTTCTTCTTCTAGGAAAATGGCGATTTCTTCTCTTAATTCATCAACACGTTGCAAAAATTTCCCACTTGATAACCATCTTGATCGCAATAACATAATAATGCTGAATGCACTGAACCCATATCTTTGCAAAGTGCGGAAAAGATTCTCGATTTCAGGGGTCTCATTTTTATATAATTTACTACATTTGCAACCGTAGTTAACACAATATTCAGACCAGGACTCAATTCTTTCAAAGCTAAAGCTTCTCGGTGGATCATGCAATGTGTCCAGACGCACTAAGGCGATTTTTGTTTTACAAGTGCTTGTATACTTTGGAATCTTCCAGACATTGAACGAGCACCATCGGTGCATATTCCGACACAATTTTTCCATTCTATGTTTGCCTTGTTCATAAAATCATTTAAAATAGTAAATAATGCGAGCGCTGTTGGTTTGCAGAAAAGTAGTTCCCCTGCTACTGACATATTTTCACAAAATCGAACATAGGCAATTAAATCAGCATCTTCATAACTATCTGTTGCTTCATCAAGCTGCATTTAAAACAATTTGTCAGGCAACTTCGAGAAAAGCTGACACTGTACATCTTCAACTATATCACCGATTCAACGAGCAACAGTATCATTTGAGAGAGGTATAGACTGCAATTGTTTTGAAAAATTATCTCCAACATAGTTTCTACAATCTCAATTGCTGCTGGCAAAATAAACTCTTCACCAATGGTGTGAGGTTTTTTACATCTTGTTATTTTATATGAAACTTTCTAAGATGCAATCAAAGCTTCTTTATTCACAGACAAAGTTTCTTAAAAAAATGATTTTTGCCTTTTATATAATTTTAATTTAAATTCGAAGAATTCTCTGTGTTTGTTGGCGTACTCACTATGAAGCGTTTCCATATGTTGTTTAAGTTTAGTAGGTTTCCTGTTGTCTGCCGCCAACATTTTTGAGCAAATGATACACAGGGGCCTTTCTTCCTTATTTGCTTCAATACTGGTAAATCCGAAATTTAAGTATTCTTGAGATTATTTTCTTGATTTTATTTTCGGAACCACGCCCGACTGCGTACTTGTTGATGCCTGACTATCGTCTAATGGTCGCTTACTTCCGCTTAAAAATTTATCCACGAGTCTGCTTAAATCTGCTGCCGTGCATATTTAATATTGTGAATTGCAATAAACACGAAAACATATGTAACATACGCATTCACGACAGATTCGATAGCGATAGAAAGATCGACTCGAATGAGACTAGCTATAATTGAAACTTTCGTTATTCGAACATTTTCCTACTTCCTATGAGAAAACATTTGCTCTGCGCATGCTCGAGACTGCATCAGTCGTGTGGATTCCCTTCCACGAACATTACTTATTTTTTTTCCTTTTTGTTTAGTCATGCTTCTGTTTTATTTCTTCTATTATTCGAAAAAATGTATTCCCTGTTTTTAAATTTAGCTCATCCCGTCTAGGTTAACTTTCATTAACGAATTTTTCTACTTTCATATTCTTTTAACTTTATCTCTCTGTTTGGCTTTTATTTCAAATATAATATTTTAATTTTCCCCGCTTTCATTCGCTTCATCCGTTCACCGCCCGCTTGGCAAAATGCCAGATGTGATTTCTCGCCAACGTTGGCTCGCTTTTACATTTGTTTTGGCAGTTGGTTAAAAATAATTTTAAAACAGAATCGAAAATACATAATATACAAGCGGAGGGTGCGATGAAATTTATGATTGAAAACTGGGCCACGAATACTGAAAGACGTACACGTACTAGAATTAAACCTTTATTATTAGCAATTACAAAAACCTGATACATTACACCGCAAGAAATTTCTCTGAAAAATAGGTATTAAATAACTGTAATCAAACGTAAAAGTCAAATAACCATAAATAATATGGTATTCAAACTGTTAATTGTGAGAAGACCCTTTATTAACTGTTTTCACCTAATACGGTTAAACAGCCAGAATTATTACTCTCATTTAACGCATAGATGTCAGTACCATAAGGCTAGTGATTGCAAAAAAGTCTTTTCCATTTTTTACGATACGTGAAACCATCAGATAAACTAATTAAGCCACATTTCACGGTTCATTTGATAAAATACAACTCAACCACCACCTTACAAAAAGACCAGTGCATATGTCCAATTAAATTTCCTTTTTGCGGATTTCAAACCATACTAGCTGTAAATGGATAAAAAACCGTATGGTTTTGTATTCATGATTTTTAATCGTACTAATTGTAAACAGTTTCAAAACCAATATTTCATCCGCCCCTTTCAACACATGAAGAGTTTCCAGTGCCCTGCTCTCTACAAAATGTGATACGAACTATTGGAATACAATTCTCTCATTCGCTCATAGATGGCAGCATCATAAAGCTGCTGAACTATCACCTATGCCCAATTAAATTTCATTTTTACGGTTTGGAAACCATGTCAGTTGTAAATGGCTGAGAAACCATATAGTTTTGTATTCATGGTTTTTTTAACTTTGCAGTTAATTTGATGGACAGACTGCTGCCGGCTATTTTTTACCATAACTTTATAATGAAAATTTGAAAAATTTATTATTAAATGCATATCAATATCAATTTAGATTTTAATTAGTACAGGAATGAAATATTATAAAAGGAAACTTCCATTGCTTTCATTTAATGTAATTTTATTGAACTATTTTTCACTTAAAAAGCGGATGCACTTTTGTAAACTTTTGTCCTTAAAACAAAATGGCTGTTAATTTCAATAAAATACAAAAGTACTTAAATTTTTAACAAAAAAGAATTTAACACGCGTTCTTTATCATCTCTTTTGATGAAAATATAAATATATTACAAATCTACGCATTCAAACAGAATATAATTAGGTGAAATTCATAGAATAATTACAACTGCATTATAAAGGAATGCAACACAAAACAAAACATTTTCATTTTTTTCTGATAACTTAATCAGCTGTCTCATGAGAAAATATTTTAGAAATCAAATCAAAATAAATTAATCCTCTAAATTGTTTTTAAAATCCTTTAAAATATGCTTAATTGAAATAGAATTTTTATTTTAACACGTTCAACATAAATGGTTTTAACTCTTTTCGAAATGTTCATGCGACAATTACATTAGCAAGAACATTTAAAAATAATTTATTAATTATTTTTGCACTAAGTATTTGTCAAATTATTTTATAATTTTGCAAGCTGAACAGTAAAGTTATTAAAATATAGAATACTAATCATATACTTTTGCAAAACACAACGCGAATAAATCACAAATAAAAGTACAGAAATGTGCTACATTTTACGTTTTTTGTTTTCAAAATAGCACAAAATAAAAACTTATCTTCCTTTTTAGATGTCATCATATAGTGTAATAAACTTTTTATGATGTTTTTGAGGACACAAAACCGATGCTCTACCAATCTCCACATATTAATTACTTTGTATGAGGCTCGAAAAGTAAACAGATTCCGTAAGCACTGTACAAAACTTTAATTGAGCAGAGTGAACTATTATTAATTCAAAGAAATTTCTGTCAAACATATTCACGGTCAAACTTAAAGGCAATAAAAATTGATACAAGTGTCTTTTATCATGTTCACATTTATAACTTGCCGACCGGCCTGTGTAGGAGGCAGGGAACTGTCCTTGCATCAGAAGGATTCTGGGTTCGAATCCCGGGCAAGACATGGATGTTCCTTCCTTCTCTGTACTATCTGTCCTTACTGTGGAAGTGACGTTGGCCCACCTAATATGGTGCCCCTGTAAGAGAGGTCAACAAAATCGCCCTGTATATGCCTGAATTGACGGATGTTAACACAGGTGGGCATTGGAAAAAAAAGACATATTTATTACGTAAATTACCGCTATTTTCATGGAGTTTTTTTATCTCGCAAAACAATGTTTCTAATTTAAAATATTATACATATACATATATATATAATACCACAAGGATCTAATGATTCATCTCTCTTAGCTAACTTATTTTTGCAATATTATGAAGAAAATTATACTCTTAGTATTAAATTTGTTTTTAGATATATTGATGACTTAATTATCTTCAATTTTCAAGATTATACTATTTTATTAAATGATATTTACCCCGAGGAATTAATCTTACTTCGTAATCATGATGATATATATATGAATAATTTCCCGCTCATGTAAGTACATTTGAATTCACTACTCGCTTTACAGATTATGAGGTTATTCTGTTTTTTTCTTTCTATTTCATTTTTTTTCTGTTTTTACGTGTTATTTTTACTTATTGTGTTCTATTTTATTTGTTGTAATTTTTGTAAAAGTTTTTTTGGAGTGCTCCTTACACTATTGTATTATTATATTTTGCTTTGGCTATATTGATACAATATCAGAAGGAACTCTTTTTTGCGGATATAATCGTGTGGGCTGATGAAAAGACTATATCTTTTATTTTCCGGATTTTTTAAAAATATTTTATTCTTTTTTTTCAGTTGTTTGTTATTTCTTTTTATTATTATTTTCTTCCCCTCCCCCTTTCTTCATTTGTCTGATTTTCNTGGCTAAAACATTTATGTTAAATGTTTTCAGAAATAAATGTTGTATAATATATATATATATATATATATATACATTAATATGTATGAGTAAGTATTTTATAATAAAGTAGATAAAGTAGTTACATATAGTTTTTGAAAAGGAATTTGTCAATATCCTACTAAATTTAGACTTTTGCACAAAAAATATTATATTTTTTTAATAAATATTGACATATTCATTTTCTAATACAAAATCGGATTAGAAACTCAATAAAAACCATTTACA